TTCTTCTTCTTCCAGTTTACTTCCATGATGAGCAACAGTTTAGCTTTGATATGAGTGGCTTTGAAGTAAATCTCTTTCTTCTTTTCCACTAATCATGAATATCATGTACCAATTATGAAGGAAAATCCACTTGTTCACCCAAAAATGACATCCTAACATACACCTGTTTTTGTTTTTGGTTTTCCTTAGATTCATTTCTTTTCATCCCAACAACCACTGATTTTCTCTACTATATATCAACATTTGGAACCTCTCTATTGTTTTTCCTTTCCTAACTACAGATGTTTGAAGTGTAGGTGCCACAAAGGGAGATATTGATCCAGCGGACTCGATCGTAGATACTGTGAGAATTATTCTCAATCTCCCCAATGGAGAAGTTCCATGTTTATTCCCTGTTCATCTTTATTTTGGTTTCGGGTCTTTTTGTTCCAACTCTGTCTCTTCCAATCGAGACTCGAGCATTGCTTCGTTTCAAAGAGAATCTCAAAGACCCGGCGGGTTTTCTTCATTCTTGGATTGATTCTAAATCCCCTTGTGGGTTCTCCGGTGTTACTTGCGACCGGTTTTCTGGGAAAGTTGTTGAGATTTCGTTGGAAAACAAGTCGCTTTCTGGTGAGATTTCTCCATCTATTTCTGTTCTACAAAGTCTCACAACACTTTCATTGGCCTCAAACCACATTTATGGGGTACTTCCTTATCAACTGATGAACTGTAGCAATCTTAAAGTACTGAATCTCACTGACAACGAAATGGTTGGGAGAATTCCCGATCTTTCTCAGCTGAGAAATTTGGAGGCTTTTGATCTATCTATCAACTTTTTCTCCGGTCAATTCCCATTCTGGGTTGGGAATTTAACTGGATTGGTATCTCTTGGTCTGGGTGAAAATGAGTTTGAGACAGGTGAAATACCAGAATCTATTGGAAATTTGAAGAACTTAACTTGGCTATATCTAGCCAATGCTTATTTGAGAGGAGAAATTCCAGAGTCTCTGTTTGAATTGAAGGCATTACAGACATTGGATCTTTCAAGGAACAAAATTTCTGGTAAACTCTCCAAGTCAATATCCAAGTTGAAGAATCTGAATAAGCTTGAACTTTTTGTGAATTGTTTGACTGGAGAAATCCCACTAGAGATTTCGAACCTTACCCTTCTGCAAGAAATCGATATTTCGGCAAATAATTTCTACGGGGAGTTGCCTGAAGAGGTTGGGAACCTGAGGAATTTGGTGGTTTTTCAGTCGTATGAAAACAACTTCTCTGGAAAGCTTCCTGAAGGGTTTGGAAATATGCAGAATCTTACTGCATTTTCAATCTATAGGAACAACTTTTCTGGGGAATTTCCTGTCAATTTCGGCAGATTTGCGCCCCTCGACAGTATTGACATATCGGAGAACCAATTTTCAGGTCATTTCCCCAAGTTCTTGTGTGAGAATGGGAAGTTGCAGTTCTTACTTGCTCTGGGAAATAGATTTTCAGGCGAGCTTCCACTTTCTCTAGCTGAGTGCAAATCACTGCAAAGGTTCAGAATAAGTAACAATCAAATGTCTGGCAGGATTCCAGATGGGGTTTGGGCTCTTCCTAATGCAAAAATGATTGATTTTAGTGACAATGAATTTACTGGAGTTATATCCCCAAACATTGGTTTATCAACTAGCTTGAGCCAATTGATTTTGCTAAACAATAAGTTTTCAGGTAAGCTTCCATCAGAGCTTGGCAAGTTGACAAATTTAGAAAGGCTTTACTTGAGTAACAATGACTTCAATGGAGAAATACCTTCTGAAATTGGTTTTCTCAGGCAACTTTCATCATTACACCTGGAAGTAAATTCTTTGAATGGATCAATCACACTGGAGATTGGGAATTGTGAAAGACTTGTGGACATAAATTTTGCTCACAACTCTCTTAGTGGCACTATCCCATCTTCATTTTCATTAATCAGCTCTTTGAACTCTCTGAATCTCTCAAGCAACAAACTTACAGGTATAATCCCAGAGTACTTGGAGAAAATGAAACTAAGTTCGATTGATTTGTCGGGTAATCAGCTCTTTGGAAGGGTTCCATCCAGTCTTCTGGCAATGAGTGGAGACAAAGCATTTTTGGACAACAAAGAACTCTGTGTTGATGAAAACTACAGAGAGAGGATAAAAACGGGCCTGACTACTTGTACTGGAAAGCATAGTCAAAAAGGGGTGCTAGAGGATAAACTTGTATTTTTCAGTATCATAGTCTCCATCTTGGTTTGTGTATTAGCAGGGCTGGTATTGGTAAGTTGTAATTACTTGAAGCGCAGTGAGACAAGCTCAGAGACCAGTCAGGAAGGGGACCAACAAGGAGCTCCAAAATGGAAAATTGCATCATTCCATCAAGTGGAAATTGATGCAGATGAAATAGGCAACTTTGAAGAAGACAATTTGATAGGGAGTGGAGGAACAGGAAAAGTTTATCGGTTGGATCTGAAGAAAAATGGCAGTACGGTGGCTGTTAAGCAGCTCTGGAAAGGAGATGCAATGAAGGTGTTGGCAGCAGAAATGGAGATTTTGGGGAAGATAAGACATAGAAACATCTTGAAGCTCTATGCTTGCTTAATGAGAGAGGGATCTAGTTATCTAGTTTTTGATTACATGATTAATGGAAACCTGCGTGAAGCACTTCAAAAACAAATCAAAGTTGGGCAGCCTGAATTGGACTGGAACCAGAGGTACAGGATTGCCTTGGGGGCAGCAAGGGGAATTGCTTACTTGCATCATGATTGTTCACCACCTATAATTCATAGAGATATAAAATCAACAAACATACTTCTAGATGGAGATTATGAACCAAAAATAGCTGATTTTGGAGTGGCAAAGGTTGCAGATCAGTTTCAAACTGTTTCTGAGAACAGCTCTCTTGCTGGCACTCATGGATATATTGCTCCTGGTGAGTTATTCTCCCTAATCAATCTCCCTATTTTTTTCCCCCATTAGATATTACTTGATGCACTTGATAAACAAATACTTCCACTGATGACCTTTCTCTTGCCACACTTTGCAAATTTCTAGCCTCACATTCATACTTCTAATTTCATTCTGATCAACTAGGCATTTTTCTCCTTTTGTAAAAAGTCGCCTAAAGTTCAACTTGTTTCTGCTCTACAGATACAGATGTATTTTGCTTGTTGTTTAAACATCATCATATTCAAGTTAACATGAAAATAAGATTAACTAATTCATGTAACTTTCCAATACAGAGCTAGCATATACTCCAAAAGTTTCAGAAAAGAGTGATGTGTACAGTTATGGTGTGGTGCTATTAGAATTGATTACTGGCAGGAAAGCAATCGAAGATGAATATGGAGAAGGAAAAGATATTGTTTACTGGGTTTCAACACACCTCAATGAGCGTGATAATGTCCTCAAGCTTCTAGACGTTAAAGTTGCTTCTGAAGTCGTCCAAAATGACATGATTAAAGTCCTGAAGATTGCTGTACTTTGCACAACAAAGCTTCCATCACTTCGCCCTTCCATGAGAGAGGTAGTGAAGATGCTATTAGACGCTGATCCTTACTCTTCTTCAATATCCCTGAAAAACAGTTCAACTAAAAAACATTTCGTTTAGTTCATCAATGAGACTGTAAGACAAGTCTTTGCCGTAATGATCAAAATACTCAAGTTTTTTGCGGCTGCAATCAGAATCTTTGCCATCATATAAGACCAATAGCCTGTATTCAATTAGTGAGTTCTGGAGATCTCCCACAAACTCAGACCTTAGCATAAAACTAAGGATAATATATTTGTAGAGCTCATCAAATGAAGTGTGTATAAGAGAATTTTCTTTTCTGAAGACTGTTGAAGTCCTCTTCCTTCACATTTAAAAAGCAAAGTTTCTTTTATACATAACTACAACGTTGATGCAAAAACATTGTCCAACTTTCAAGTTGGAAGTTTCACATCAGATAATTTCCGAGGCCCCTAAGTGAAATTTATGGCGTTCATGATGCGATCACTCCAACCGTAATGACAAAACATGGAAGAGATCCTGCATTTGTATGGTAAATAGTATCAGATGTTAGTTTTCAACAATCCATCCACCAACCACCTCCCTGCAAGCAATGGTGTCAGGTGCCAATATCCAAGGGCCTGTTTACAACAAATTTGTTATTAGTTTCAATCCTTACAAACAGGTTTCTTTGATTTGTTATACACTTCTAGAAACATGTGTTAGATCCTACAAACCATTCCCTTCTGCACAAGGAGCTCTAGTTGTCCTGCAAAAATAAGACAAGACAGAAGCACATGGGCAAGAGATTGGAAAAATCAGAGAAGACAATGGAAAACTTCTTATTGGGAGTGCATATTAAGAATGTAGGCATACGAAGATACCCATCAATATCTTCCTACTGCAGCCATAAATTATGAACTGCACCCACCACCAAACAGTAACTACAACTTCGATTGTGTTAAAGCTAATGTTTTAGTCCCTCAAATTCTACGCATTCTTTAGTTTGGTTCCTAAAATTCTCAACTCATAACATATTTATCCTAATTATAAAACAAAACGTCTCAACTCGCAGAAATAGTTGGAGAGACGAGAGACTAACAGAACAGACTGTTTTCCCTTATTTGGTTTGTTCTCAACTCATGATTTGAATTCAAAAGAGATGCTGAGAGTATCAAAATGCTAGTTTGAGTAAAAAACCTCAGTATTATGAATGACAAGACATCTAAAGGTAAGGAAGCTTCTCAAACTATTCTTCAATTTAGCTCAAGCAAACTTATTACACTATTAAGAATTGATTTATCTCAAATATACAAAAATTGCAAATAAACAGTTCATGATAGGTAATTTATCGATCCCTTGATGCATCAAAATTGCACCAGTAATCATTTTCTCCATTACAATTAGTCAGACCAGTTTTCATTTAACACCTACCATACAAATCATTAAATATAATGAAATCAAAAACCTATGCTTACGATAAAAATTATCGAAGAAAACGAAATGGAAAAAACCCTAAGAATTTATCACTCTTCCTTGAAATCCCATTTCAATCATTTTATTGATACTACGACATTGGGTAAGATGAAAATAAATGCAGTACAAGCTTTTCTGGTCTCAAGCCACCTCGTAACACTACATAATGATGTTTTCTCATGTTTATTGCTTTTGTACAGAGTCATAGTAAAAATGTAATTAATAGATAAGGCTTCCCTATCCACAGAAAAAAAAATTTCGCGAGTATGTAATCTCACAAAACTCAAAAGGGGCCTAACCATGCTGCAAAGTTATCTATGTGGCTAGAGATCCTATAGCAGCCTTCCGTTGCTCTAGAAGTCCTATTAGCAGTCTATCTATTTGATCAAATACAACTTCCTTTGGCGCATTTCCATTCACCTGAAAGGGGGAAAAATAGTTTTTGAGTACTATACTGATGAACAGATGCAGAACAACCAAGTCAATTGATAATATACAAGTCAGTAATGTTCATCATTTGTGATTTCTTTTGGAAAATAAAGAGATTTAGACTTTATTTGATAACCATTTGATTTTTTATTTTTAGTTTTTGAAAATTGTGTTTGTTTTCTCATAATTTCTCTACCATGGATTTCATCTTTCTTTAGAAACCATTTAAATTCTTAGTTAAATTTCGAAAACAGAAACAAGTTCTTGAAAACTACTTATATTTTCCAAAAACGTAGGGGTGGAAATAGTATTTATGTGCTTAATTTTTAAAAACAAAAAGCCAAATAGTTATCAAAGAAAAATTAGTTAACTGGAAATTTGTCTCTTCCTTCAGAGTTGGGAGATACATTAACGTTAAGAATGCATCGTTGTTGTTTTAGCAAAGTGAAAGTGGCAGTTTCTGAAGAAGTTAACTCCCTAGGGTATGAAATTAACTCTAGTAAATACGGGCAAGATAAGTTTGGTTAGTCAACAAAAATAAGCCTCTCTGGTAGTTGTTTTAGCCTTTGAATTTCCAAAGCATAGTGCAACTTGATTGAGGATAGAGTTGATTGAAGGATGGTCACAAAACAAAATTATGGGAGGACTATCCAATTGGTCAAAGCATGCCTCGACTCCTTTTTGCTCACATCTATGTTGTGTTTCGATTAGATACTTGAGTCCATTTGTGTGTGCTAATATCCTAAAGCCAATGGCATAGGATTTGAGAATTGGTCAAGATTGCTGGGAAGGGTAGTCTGTGAGGAAAAAGGAACGAAAATTTATCAAATCCATAGCGTTTACTAATTCAGATTCTCAAGTAAAATAAAGGCATTTACCAGAGACTTCTTCCAGAAATGAAAAGAATGAACAACAGGCTAAATGCACAGGTACATTTCTCTTGTTCTTTTTTTCGTTTTTTGTATTTTTGTTTTCCCCAATAAGGGGAGTGATGGTCGATGGGGGCTAAATTGCATACCTTAACTGTAACATCTTGATACAATGAAAGAACATCCTCCAGATTCTGGTGGTGAGTCTGCAATCTTAACCTCACCTGAAAACCCCAATGGCAGGGAGCACAGTCAGTATTTCAATAGCGTAAGTGCTCAGAAACAGGCAAAATTATGGAGATTAAGAAGCTTGCCCAAGAATGATCCAAACAAAACCTTGTTAAATATACACACCACCAAAGATAATGGTTTGAAATGACAGACCAAAATAGATACAGTGTTAAAGAAAATACCCTTTCTTCAGTATCATCAAAGCGCTGTGTAAGTCTGGCAGCAACTTCTTCATTGTCGGGAGGAAAATACTTCAAGTGATATATCTTGCCAGTAACGGGATCCAGTCTTCTTCCAACAACTCTCTCAACAAGAATTTCTTCGGGGACCTACAATTATAAATCGAGGTTACTGTAAGTTCTGGTCTTGAAGCTCTGATAAGATGTTTGTTAAGAGTAGACCATAACAAAAGCTATGATCCCCGTGGCATAGCATACAATGCACATAAGGTAGTGAAATTTTCGTAAAAGTAATGCTAATCCACTTAGTCATCATCAAAAATTCAAAAAGCCACAAATCAAGATAAAAATGCGTATGCAACCCAAATCAACCTACCGACATTAAATTTAGTTTTGCTTTTTTCTTCTTTTTCCTGATAGAAACCCATGTATTAAAAAAACAAAAAAGAACCAGTACTGACACTCCTCAATCTTGGAAATTCAGGGTGAAAGTGCAAATTTTGAAACTAAAATCAGCATCATTGAACAAATCTTACTTCAAGAAGAATGAAAAGATCAGGCTCAAAGCCAACTTCCTTAAGAGCATTTGCTTGAGAAGAACTCCTAGGATAACCATCTAAGAGCCAACCATTTTCCTGAGCATCAGGTTGTGACAGCCGCTCCTTTACCATCTACAAGATACTGACAGGTACATTACAGACGAAAATTACCACATACGAAAATAATAATATAGATTTTCCTACCAGCGCGACTATTTCATTAGGAACTAATAGTCCTTTCTCCATGTAATCTTTCGCTAGCTTCCCATTTTTGCTGCCACTATTGACTTCTGCCCTGAGTAAATCTCCAGCTGCGATATGCACCAAACCATACTGCACAGAGGAGAATGACTTGATTCAATCTGCTATTCTCCAGGGGAAATAAACCATGAGAAATTTATAAAGCATAAACAAAGATTGTAGGGCAATAACAAAAATTGAAGTACGAGCACAGACAGGTAATAGGTTTGGTCAGAACATATAAGACTTCAATGGAGATATAGGCATCAAGAAAAATGGAAGTAAGCCTACTAAAGCGGAAACTGATCATCACATATCGATTTACAGTTGATACTTGTTCTCCCCAAATAAGAAACAGCCACAATAGTGTTCAATAGTGAATTATATCATCTTTATCCTTTTTTAATAGAGAAGGATAAAATGGAGAATAGCTCAAGAATCTACTTTCTTAACTCAAATCTTCCCTCTCCAAACTCCTTTGACTTTTATTTTTTAATATCCGTGAGAACTTCGATTATTCTCACGGAGCAACCACCTAACCATACTACATGATCTTTCTTGATCACTCAACTAACTCCAAGAAGTATTTTCAAATATTCTTTTTAGAATTTCCATGTAACCGTTCAAGCCCACCACTAGTAAATATTGTATTTTTTGGGCTTTCTTTCGAGCTTCCTCTCAAGATTTTTAAAACGCATCTCCTAGGGAGAGGTTTCCACACCCTAATAATAGATATTTTTAAAACGCATCTCCTTGGCAAATTATCCTAATCAGCGGAGTTTAAAAACATATGAAGCTGATAGCCTCCCGATTAAGATTTTACGTCCTCACAAACAATAGCGACCTAAATTCTCTGTCGGAGAAATAGATATATGCAATTAGCATAGCTTATTGTCAGTGAGGGCCAAGAGAAAAATAGAAGATTTCGGAGGCTCGCTTGTTAATGAAATTGCTTACTTTCCAAGTAATAAGTTCGCATTGTGTGCCTTTGCCTGAAGCAGGAGCACCGGATATCTTGATTCTAAGAGGCTCTGGCGTTGCACGCGCCGTAACCTGCCAGCATATACAACCACGTTCAATCGACATAAACAACAAACCACTCAATTTCCAAAGCGTTATCGGGGTTACAAGGAGTGAATCCCAACGATCAAATCGGCACATTGTAAATTCTGCCACTAAAACGAGTTCAATTATAAATAAAGTTCGAACCTCGAAGTTCTTCCATTCCCTAACTACTAGCAATTTCATATCGTTTTAATCAGCCCGGAGTTCACCAAAATAATAGTAATAAGTCAAAAGCCGCATTCTGTTCTCGTTCAATCCGACTAATTCCACCAATAACACTAAAGATAAAATCAAATCGACTCAAATTTAGATTAAAAAAATGCATTAAATCGACTCAATTTTAGATTAAAAAAATGCAATCCAATCGACTCAAGTTTAAATTAAAAAAATGCGATTAAATCGACTCAAATTTAGATTAAAGAAAATGCGATCAAATCGACTCAAATTTAGATTAAAAAAAATGCGATCAAATCATACAGTAAATACATGAGAAATCGTAGCTTTCGGATACAGCGAAATAGCCAAGCACGGTAGACTTAGGTCTCGGCAGTGACGAGTAAACGAGATTAAATTGTTCGAAACATAAGGAAAATGATTCGGTTGCCGTTGCCGAGACGACAAGAGTCGATTCGGGCAAGCAAACGCTGTGAAACTCGAATAATAGAGCGCCATGCTTCAGCTTCCTCCGACTCACTCTCCGCTCAGCTCCACCGCTGTCCGTCGGAACCTCCGGCACTCAGCAGAAGCAGCTTCACTAGAATCACTCCAGTGAAACGCCGTCGATCTTGATCTTGATGTTATCGAAGCGAAAGGACCGCCACTTTTCCTTTTTTTTCGTCCAAAAAACTCAGCTTATTATTTGCTTTCCATTTTGGATGTTTAATTAATTCTTTGGTCAGTTTAATCAACTTGGAGTTGTCGTTCCTAAGTTTCAAAACTTTAATTTGATTCGATATTGAAAGAGGGCATTTATGGCATTTCACAGGTGATCAATCTATTTCACGTTTTTTTGCTTTTATTTGTGATTTTTTTTATATATAATTTTAGTTAGTTTGAGAAATTATATATATAGGTACAATTTAATATTGAAATTTAAAATTTTAAAAATTATATTAAACATTGTATTCTACGTACATTTATTCAATAAAATAATTATTTAAAATTAATATTTTTTTCAAATATATATAAAAAAAGATACGAATATAATTAAAATAATTCGATACCTACAAATTTATTTATTTATTTATTTTTAATTCGGTCATCGTCTCTAAAAAAAAAATAACTTTTGGTAGGGATGGAAATTGAAATGGTTTTAAATTCAAGGACCAATTTGTAAATAATTTAAAATTCTAGAGACTAATTAGAAATACATATCCTATTAACAACAACAAAAAAAAAAATGTTTTTTTTTAACTAAAATTATTTTTAAATAGGTTCATAATTATTCAAAATCAATTATTATAATATAAAAATGGTAATAATTCCGCCCTCAATCCTAAAAAAAGGAAAATTTTGCATGGATGGAGATTGAAACGAATTTTAAATCAAGGACTAATTTGCAAATAATTTAAATATTTAAGGACTAATTAGAAATATAAATTCAAATATCGAAGCTAAATATGTCATTTCTAAAAATAAAAATATATTTTTTAAACCTCGATCAAATAAAAATTAAAGACACTTATTTTTAAAAGGATTAAAATCATTTTTAAATATGCTCATATTTATTGAAAATCAATTATCATAATATAAAAGTGGTAATAATTCCGTTCTAAACCTTTTAAAAAAGGAAAATTTTGCATGAATTGACACAGAAACGAATTTTAAATTCAAGGACTAATTTGTAAATAATTTAAATATTTAAGAACTAATTAGAAATACAGAAAGGTTAAATATGTCATTTCTAAGGATAAAAATATATTTTTTTTAAAGCTCGACATATTATTTTTGGATATTTTAAAATCATTTTTTTAAACTATTATTAAAGTCATTTTTTAATATTTTTTTTATTATTTTCGAACATAATAAAATTTATTTTAAAAATCTTGTTTTTTTTTTTTTTTTTTTTTTTTTAACACTAAAATTTAGCCACAAAAGAATGGCGGCAAGGTTCGAGATGCGCGCGGACTAGTCTTTCTCGTGGGATATGAAAAATCTGAAGCCATCGAAGACTCCATTCCCAATTCTCGTTCCGATACGCAGAATTGCTTGATCACACATGGCTAGGGCACCGACGACCGCCCCCGGAGCATTAACGTCGTCCTCCCCTTCCCTCACAACCACCGTCGTCTTGGCCAACGGATCCTCTTCCTCCCAGCCACCCGAAACCCTAGTTCTCCGTCTCAATCGGAAGAAGAAGAAGGTCTCGTGGAAGGAAGGCACCGTCGACAACGAGTTCATGCAGAAGAAGAGTTCCAAGAAGTGCTGTATATTCCACAAGCAGAAGCCCTTTGACGAGGACGACAGCGACCAGGAGGATGACCATGGGCATAATCATCACCACGGGAATGAAAGCCCTTGCTGCTCTAGGGGAAACGGCGGGGACTCTTCAAGTAGAGTCAGTTGATAATTCACATTAACGTTGTAAAGCTGATGTTTCGAAAGGTTACTGAATTCGTGTTTTTGTTTTTTCTTAATCGGTTTGACTGTCCGATCATCTAATATACATTTTTTTTTTTATCGAAGTAATTGATAACCATTTGATTCTCGACGAACGATATGTTATCTATCCAATCGAGGGGTTTGCCCTATAACTCGAATTGTTATAGGTGGATGTATATCGGCCACCGTTTCACCGATGAATGCTCGTGTTTCCTTTATCATTATCGGTCGTCTGGATCGTCTTTTACTAATTATTGATTCGTTGACTTGAATTTTCTCTTTCTGCAATCTATCTCTTTAGATAATCGGCCTCTATTTTTCTGTTTTCATTCTGGTTCGGATAGTTTGTGGAATTTCGATTGAATTTCGATATTGGATACAATTGTGCAAATGGGTCTTGCATATTGTTTCCCCTGTTAACTGCATCTTGTTTCTTTTCCTATAGTATTCACGAATATGGTTGGGATAGTTTTAGGGTCCTGTTTGCTGTCCAAGTTCCTGCATTGAGACACCTATCAAGGAAACGAGCATATGAAAGATTAGAGTGCTATTTTTAGTTTGAGATGTAGAAACTGTTAGATGAGCACGACTCTCCACAATGGTATGATATTGTCCACTTTGAGCATAAGCTCTCATGGCTTTGCTGTGGGCTTCCCAAAGGGCTTCACACCAATGGAGAGTGTATTCTTAGATTATAAACCCATGACCATTCCCTAAATTAACCAATTTGGGACACTTCCATCTAACAGTGTTGGATGATGAAAGTCCCACATCGGCTAATTTAGGGAATGATCATGGGTTTATAAGTGAGGAATACTAACTCCATTGGTATGAGGTCTTTCGGGAAGCCCAAAGCAAAGCCATGAGAGCTTATGCTCAAAGTGGACAATATCATACCATTGTGGAGAGTCATGTTCGTCTAACATGGTATTAGAGCCATGCCCTAAACTTAGCCGTGCCAATAGATTGGCAAATCCTCGAATGTTGAACAAAGGACTCCAAAAAGAAAAAAGGAGTCAAGCCTCCTCGAAGGTACAAAGACAAAGGCAGTAAAAAATGACTAAGACTCCAAAGGAGTCGAGCCTCGATTAAGGGGAGGCGTGCTTTGTTCGAGGGGAGGTATTGGATGATGAAAGTCCCACATCAGCTAATTTAGGGAATGATCATGGGTTTATAAGTGAGGAATACCAATTCCATTGGTATGAGGCCTTTCGGGAAGCCCAAAGCAAAGCCATGAGAGCTTATGCTCAAAGTGGACAATATCGTACCATTGTGGAGAGTCGTGTTCGTCTAACAGAAACTATCAGAAAATAACAGCAGATGCAAATTTTGACACCAGAATGAAGAATCAATGTAAAATCATCTCTTCTGTGTGTGTGTGTGAGATTTGAATGAGCACCGATGAAAGAAGCACTAACTAGGAGGAAAGGTGTAGGATGAAGGGCCGGAAAAGCAGAGGTCTGCTGATCTATTTTTCAGGGACTCAAGAAAGTTGTCGTTTTCATGCCTAATAGGAAGCTTGAGGTCTAGAATCCATTTGGTATAGAACTGGCCTTGGGTAGTTTTGAAATTCATGTTCTGTTGAGTGGTTCAAGTCTGTGCAGTAGTTTAGTCTCTGTTTGAATTGCAGCTTTTATTTTGTATAGAAACTGATTATGCTTATTTCTTTCCTTCAATCTAGGTTTTCATTAATTCCTGAAGACCAGATATTGTTGTTTGCTCTGGTAATTAATGATACTGATATCTTGCTGTTCATATCTTTATTGATCAGGTATCCCTTTCTTTTTAAATTTTTTTTTTTAAAACTGTTTCTTGCTGTCTGATAAATTTCAGCCATGTAATCACTTTCCGATCAGCTGGTACCATCAAAGTTGTATTTATCCCACTGACCTTTTTATTTGAAAGTCCTCTTCTGTAGACGGTCGTTTTCAAAGAACATGATCTGGATTCGTTGGTTTTTGACCGCATCTCTATGAACTCTTACTTATTCCTTCCTTTAACCTGAAGAGTTGAACAAACTTTCTTCAGTTTAGGCTGAATGGGTATGCTTTTTGGTGGTGCAAGTGAAAACATAGATGTAGATGCCTCTTGACATTCCAAACTTTACAAGCTTATCCTCTTATTCTGGTTTGTTTTTCTAATCTCCATTCAACTGTATATCTCGACTTGAAAGCCTAGAGAGTTGTGCAACAGGATAGACCAGATTTCATTACAATTAGACTAAACGAGATAAACGAGAAAAAGAAACAAGTTCTAACTTCCTATTTGAACTTCCTGTGCTTGAAAGTTTGTTGCCTCAGTTACTTTCTCGTACAGAATGATCTTGATACAATGAAATAATACTTCCATAGTCGCCCTATCTGTGCTTAGTGCTGACTCAAACATTAATTGCTTTTTTCTTTGCTGCAAATTCCTCCAGATTGAGTTTTTGCTCAATTCAATTGGATGGTACATGATAATATTTCCCTTTACACATGCATCTGTAGACAGTTGGACATGACTCCGCAACAGAGCATTTGAAGCTCACCATCACCCTTTTGCACGGAAAACATGGTCCACATGCATGGGAGCAGTCTGGGAGGCTGGATCCTGTAGGGTATAACTCCATACCAAGTACTTCTTTAGCCTTTTCCTGCACAGGCACGCATGACAAAGAAACTGAATGATGATTTCTCTTTTGCAGTGAATTTCTTTAAATGGTCTCCTGTTAGTGTGTTGCTATGGTTCGTCTTGTTCGATGTGCTCTCAAGTAAGCATCTATTATTCATATTTTTCCTGTTCTTGTCCCAGTTAGGCTATCTTTTTCGGTAAATTTTCTAGCAAAATGTTTTGAACTAGGTGAAGAAATGTGGGCTGAGAAAACACACAATACCTCCTCTTGCCTTAAACTGCCATCTGTTCTGTGAGCATCTTCTGCACTGAAGCTCACTGAAACATCACACTTAAAAGCTTAAATGCCATATCTAAATCAGAGAAAGATATCGATGTATATGTTATAGGGATACAAATGCATTTTCTCAACAACTAGAATGATACAATAAATAGCTAATGTAAACCACAATCACGTAGATGATGATTTATCTTACTGTTATCCCAGTGAGTTGTTACATCAAGACTTCTACCAATCATTAGTATGATGAAGAAAATTCCAAGAAGTAGAGACATGTGAGCTACAATAGAAAATTTCTTCATTGTTGCTCGATAATGCAAAAGCCAAAACGATATACGAATGAAGTGGTAAATGCGAAAGAAAGAGAAAATAGACTGAAAGTTTGTTGTAAATGTTGGTGGCTGACTGATGATTTAGTATGTTATGATCATTTTTATAGTGTAGATGGAAGGAAGGTTAGTTTTTAATGTAGAAGAGGTACATCTGTTGCATTTCACATGATCCATGGCCATGTTTTGAAGGTTCACATGTTTTGGCAAGTAAACTCAACATCTTCAGAAACTTTAAATGAACTGGGGCACTTGATCTTCTTATATGTACGAAGGTACATTTTTTTAGTCTTATAGATCAAAATTTGAATTGCTGGATCTTGTAAAGCTATGAAGACGAGACATTTTGAAATTTAAGAGCACCATCTCGTCCTGAGATGACATGGGGGTTCATCTTTTCTCTTCATATATTGCAATGGTAGTTGGATTCATTTATAATCAATGTGCTTTCTGGCTGTGATAAATATTGCTTTTCACACAGGTTGAGGAAGGTTCATATTCATTTTCGGTTTATTAATTAGTCGGTCACTTTCTAGCAACATATGATGGGGAAATCCTGGATTTATTTACTTTTATAGATCGTTTATATAATATTTGGTAGTACTTGTGAGTAATTTAAGATGCTTGAATTTTTATGCTTATTTGCCCACAATGGAAAAAGTGTTTCTGAGGCAAGCATTTAATTGTTTTATCTAAATAAAATATGCTATGCCCCATTTATTTGTTTGTTTGTTTGTTTTTTTTTGAATTAAATGATGTTGCTGAATTTTATATTTGGTGGGTTTATTTTTTGAGTTTAACCGTGTGAGCGTTATAATTTGAACTTCTAATCTTTTGGTTTAACATGCATTATCTCAAGCAGTTGAGTTATGTTCATGTTAATTTGTAACGGCTCAAGCCCATTATTAGCAGATTGTCCTCTTTGGGTTTTCCCTTTCGGATTTTCCCTCAAGTTTTTTAAAACGTGTCTGCTAGGGAGAGGTTTCCACACCCTTATAAAGAATGTTTCGTTCTTCTCCCCAACCGATGTGGGATCTCACATAATTATTTGGTGAGTATTTTTTAGAACAATATTCATTTTTGAATTTTATAGTTTAGGAAGTAAAACACATTGAATACATCTCTACTTTCCATTGATTCCTTTCGTATTCTTGTTTATGGATATTTTTTCTTCTTATTAAAGTCAAAAGTTCGGGTGAAGGTTATCTCAATTTTAGTTCATCAACCAAATGCACACTTGGTTCTCGAACACGTTCTATATCATCTTTGAAGGAAAGCATGGAAAATCTTTATAGTTAGGACATCTTGAGCTAGATTTGTGTCCAATCAAGGAGTATTGAAAAGATTATAGTCCCAAGTGAATGGGACATAGCCAAATTATTATTAGGGAATGTGTTGCTGGCTTTTATTTGCTAGACGACACAAGGAATTCACGTGCAGCAAGCAGGAGCTATTCAAATTTAAGAAACCCTCTGCCCTAAACGTGATGCTGAAGAAGCCCTTTGCATTGAATTAGCTTCTGCTACATTTGTCAGTTTCGGATTCATCAATACTTCCTATAAAGGTTAGAGGAGCAAGTCTTAGTTGAAGCTTTGGTTTAATTTCTTGTTTGTTTGTGGTTCTTATGTTGAGTTACTTTCAATTTTCTCCACTTGCTCTGTGTATGTGGGCGAATTTTTGGTACGGGTGAGAATTTGAACTTTAGTTACCTTTACGACCAAGGTCATGTCTTTTTATACCGCTTCTATCCATGTGTCTAGAGCTACTCGGTCAATTAGAAACACAAATTTAAGGCGATTTTTTCTATTTGCTCTATGTTTCTAAGCTTGTAGCCTTATTGATGTAACCCACTAAATAAAAGGTTTGTTCGGGATGAACATCTAATTCTCTCTAAGGTTTTTAATATTAGAAATCGAGCTTTCATTGAAATATGTAAAAGAATGTTCAAGTTATTCAATAAAAAGATTCATCAAAAGGAGTTTCGAACACTAATTACAAGAACTAACTCCAATATAAATGAATGAAATTAAGATAGATAAAAGATCGATTGATGGATGCCTATTATAACAAATTTTTACATCTCATTTTCAAATCTTCCGAAACTCTCTACAAATTTTGTTCTTCTAGTGTAAACTGGTGAAAAAACGAGCATCTCTTCCTCTATCTAGAAAATGAAGCTTATTGATAGTGTCGATCAACCTATCATACAGATGTCCATATGCGTTAAACTTTAAATTTACGAGAAGTAGGGCAAGATTTTAGATAATACATTGGAATAATTGTTCGGTGACTTAAGTAAATACTTTTGCAAACTATGACTGGTTGAAACGTTAGGTTGTTACAACTTATTTGAATTATCATTTTTTAATGTCTAAATGTTCTCAGGGTTACTATCAAACAAATATAATATTTGCATAAAAATATTCTCTCATTTCATAATCACTGTGCACAAAATGTACGAATGAATCCGTTTTTAATTTCGTTCGTAGAACCCTAGATGCTAATGAAGTATAAAATCGTGAACAAGGACATTTTATATTAAAAAGTGGGATTTAAATGTATAATTGTTCAACCGTCAGTTGAAATGACGATTCACCTTTTTCTAAGTAGTAGAGAAGAGGATCGAAATATGACACTTAAAAATTAGAGATTTGACAACATATTTTTTTTTATATTTTTCGTGAGACAGATAGAATATGATGTGGGACTTTTTATCTGTATTGCATAACAACTCATTTAGTGATGTTGGGTAATCAATGTTTATCCAATAAATTTTATGGAAGGCGACTTGAAGATGGAAATATTTCTCTTGAAGAACGAGAAATAGGTGGAACGAGACTGTAGCTATGAATTGTGAAACGTGTCGAGCGTTATCTCGTTCTTCGGATTCTGACTTTTCCAGCCGAAACTTATCTTTTCTTAATTTGGAGATTAGGAGCTATCCGAAATCATACTGATTTTTCGGCTACGTCTGGGCTTGGGGATTACGGCCAGAGTATTTGATCTTTGATCTTCCAATTTCAGCTCCTTTGATCTGTTGTTTCAGTTCCCAAAAGCTTGGCCGGATTCCGCTCCGACTCCGGCAATTTCGGATTTAGCATGGTGTTTTCGAGTTCATTAGTTATAGAGTAAGTGAGCTGAAATTTGATTTACTTATTTTCCAACATTGTGGAAAGTTGAATGTTTAGCTGAGAAATGAAGAACAAATTAACTTTCCAATTCGATTATTTTCTTTTTGCATTACAATCACTCGATTTGAACTTCCTCTGCAGATGAACTCTCCGTACCTGCTTTTGTTTGTCATTTTGATTGCTAACTATGAACCTCTTTCCTTCTATTTGAGCTTCTTTTCTCAACTTCTGCCTCTTATCATTGTAATTTACAAGCATGTCAGTGTACACTGGTTTGCCCTCTCTCGAAATTCAGCTTCTCTGAATGATAATCTCCTATTCATTGAACGTTACTGTCTGACCTTCGGATCATCAAGTTGAACTAGTGTTTGTTTTTTAATTTCCAGTTTTTTCAGCATAGCTTTACCTTTTGGGAATTTACAAATTTGCTCAATTGTTCAGTGAAATGGTAATGGTTTGATCAAAATGTTGAATCACTCAGTGTGTCGAAATGTTACTTGAGTTTCTTTAATGGAGTGAAGCAATTCATAAGGTGAAGTGAAATCATAATCCAAAGTATAAGAAATAATGGCCCAAGGGGCCACCAACCATTGCACGCAGACTGTCCAAAAAGAAAAAGTGAGCTGGTTTGTGTTCATAGCAACTGGGCCATGGAAGCCAGGCTTCATAATGAGCATTTTCAGACACATTCAGATATGAATTTAGTAAAAATATTGGATGAACAGGGTAATTTTAATTGATTAGACCATGCAAGAATCTGGTGCTAAAGCATTATAAATATGAGTCGGAAGGAGTTTGTTGAGACATGTTTACTACATATTATCATAGTTGTATGTGATGCTATGCGGTTTGCAATGCTAGAAAATATGACAGTATATACTTTCTTTTGGTACAAGGATACTACTATCTTTTAGAAATGGGCTTTGGAAATATACAGTGCATGACATATACTTATGTTTTTTCATGGAGGCAGACCTTGTAAGAACTCACATAGAAGACATGTTCAGATCCAAAGAGTTTTCATTCTATTATTTTCTTGATTATGCTGATCTTCCCCTTTCATTTTGTAAATTTTAATTTTTCATCCTTTCATCAGGGAAATCATTTTGTTCTTTGGTGTAGAATGCTAGCTATGCTTTTAGGATTTTATTGTTTTAATTTGAAAGTAAATGTCCGTGGAAATGATTGGGGTCATGACAAGATCTAATATAATAAACTGGGAAATAAAATGGTCTGGTAAAATGTATAGCATTACATTGCTTGTTATTCAACCTCAGACTGATTGAAAGCTTTCTCTGAACTCTTGGTCATCACTTACACTGGTAACACCATCGTATTTGTTTCACATTGTTTCAAGAATTCAGTGGATAAACCATACTCTTTAGTTCGTTCATACGATTTAATTTATCTTTTAGTGATTTATTTTATTCTTTTTGTTTGATTCAACAAGATAAGTCAGGTTATGAACATCCAATGGAGGAGTCTGAGGAGCTTCTCACAGATATGAAATTCAAGGAAAAACGAGTGAGTGGGTCTGTTTGCACTGGCAAACATGGCTTGTTCTGTTTATAAGGTTTTAAAGTTGATTGAATTTCCTCTTAATAAGAAGTTAGTCACATTACAGTTGAGTAACTGAACATCTTAAACAGGGTATGGTACCTCCACGAGCTTCTGATCCTGGTTGGGCTCATGGAATTATGGTCAATGGGGGTCGTCAGAAGATTAAATGTAAATACTGTAATAAAGTAATGCTTGGGGGTGGCATATCCAGACTAAAGCAACATCTTGCTGGGGAAAGAGGAAATGTAACTCCTTGTGAGGAAGTTCCAGAAGAAGTTAAGGTGCAGATCCGACAACTTTTAGGTTTTAAAGTTTTGGCAAAGCTGAAACGGCTGAAGAAAGGTAGCAAAAATGCAGCATCCTGCGTCTCGAGTAGGGAAGAAATAGATGATGGGGTACACCGAGTTCAGAATACTCGACGACGCTCTTTCCAGAGAAGGGGAAAGGAGGTATTGGAAAGTGTTACTAAGAAAGCAAAGAGGAAAAAGAAATACCCTTTTCCAACATCTTTTGTCACTCAATCTGTTAACCAGAATACCTCGACAATAGAAAGCATAGAACAAGCTGATATGGCTGTTGCCAGATTTATATACCAAGCTGGTATACCTATTAGTGCAGTAAGCACACAACATTTCCAACAAATGGCTGATGCCATTGCTGCTGTAGGCCCTGGTTATAAGATGCCTACCTGTCATTCTTTGATGGGTAAATTGCTCGACAGAAGTGTCCGGGATGTTGGGGTGTATGTTGAAGAGTTGAGAAAGTCTTGGGAGGTTACAGGGTGCTCAGTCTTGGTTGATAGGTGGATGGATAGAACTGGTTCTGTAGTCATAAACTTTTTTGTCTATTGTCCTAGGGGTACCATGTTCCTTAAATCTGTTGATTTATCAGAAATATCAGAATCACCGGAAGGGCTTCTAAATTTATTTGACAGCATTGTTCAAGAAGTTGGACTGAAGAATATCGTCAATTTTGTAACAGATACTTCTCCCTTGCTTAAAGCTGCAGGTATACTCTTGGTCGAAAAATACAAGACATTTTTCTCAAGTGTTTGTGCTGCACATTGTGTGGAGTTAATCCTCGAGGAATTTGAGAAAATGGAAGAAGTAAAAGAGATTGTTGGGAAAGCGAAGAGGATAGTTCAGTTCATATACAACGATGTCTGGGTCCTAAATCAGATAAAGAAGAGAAGTGGTGGAAGAGAGATTATTCAACTTGCATCTTCAAGATATTTCTCCATCTTCTTGACTCTTCAAAACATTTTTTCTTTGAAAAACCATATTTGTCAGATGTTTACCAGTGGTGCTTGGATGCAGTCGAATTTTTCGAAGGCCGGGGCTGGACTTGAGGTGGCAAAGATCACAGCTGATCCAATCTTCTGGTCAAAGTGTGAACATATTACAATGGGAACAAAACCCTTACTTTCTGTGATGCAATTTCTTGAATCAGAGGAGAAGCCATCTGCCGGGTTTATATATGATGCATTTGAAAAAGCAAAGAACAGTGTCATGCTCGCTTTCAACCAGAAGGAATCCGTCTACTTGCCATATTTGAAAGCCATTGACCATGTTTTGCTGAAGGAATTTCAGAGCTCTCTTCATTTGGCTGCATACTACCTAAATCCATCGATATTCTATAGTCCTACATTCGTACCCAGCAAAGTTATTCAAAAGGGTTTACTTGATTGCATTGAAGCCTTAGAGCCAGATATAACATCCCAGGTTATGATTACAAACAACATAAACTTCTATGAGGAAGCTGTTGGAGATTTTGGGCGGCCAGTGGCATTACATGGTCGAGATTCATTGGCCCCAGGTTACTTTCAACCTAAAATATTTTTCTGAAATCTTACATTACTAACTGTTAACTTCCGTTGTTATGTCTTTTAGCTACTTGGTGGTCATTGTATGGAACTGATTACCCGGATTTACAACGCTTGGCCGTTAGGATATTAAGTCAGAGCTGCACCATTATACAATGTCGTAAAAGCTTGAGTGTGTTCAAATATATCTATTCAAAGAAGAAGAACCGGCTTGAAAAGCAGAAGATGAATGACCTTGCATTTGCTCATTATAACTTGCAACTCCAGGAGAGGTAACTTGGATGTTCTTTCTTTTTTCTAAATGTTGGTGAGAATATTTGTGGCAGTGAGTTTCCGTAAGTCAGATGTTCCACAAACAAACTGCGATTCATGAAACTTTTTCTAAAGCATTTGGCAGATGGCTTACAGCTTTTTACTTTTATTGATTTGAATGTGAACTCAAAAAATAAAATTCATTATTTTAACCTACCTCAGCATCCTTTTCTGGTGATTTCTGATCATACTCCAGAGTCCAAAGCTCGGACCATTAAGTGACTTTATGTTGCTGACTAATCCAATAAGTTATAAATTGTTGCTGAGGACTGTTCATATGCTACTTTTCTACTCAGTTAAAAGTTTCTAGGATTTCCATGCATTATCATAACTAATTCACCACCATAGTTAACTGATAGGATTGCCATTAGAAAGAAGTTAAGGATATTACAGGAGTATATTAATAAATAATTAGAGAGTTAATTATGGTATTTGGATATAAATAGGGGTAGTGGGAAAGGGGGAAGGAAGAATTGATTCGGTTAATTTGGTTAGGGCTCGAGTGAGAGTGCTCATGAAAGGGAGGTTCCATTATCTCTTTACATTTCAATACATTTGGGTTCTATCATTAACCCAAAGTACTTTGTACACCTACCCATGGTGGTTCTTCAATCTTTATTTGGCAAGAATATTTGGTGTTGAAGGAAAACCATGCTAGCTTAGGAGTTAGGATTATTGTTTTTTGTGTCAGTTTGATATGTCAATTGGGGAGGCTTTGTTTCCGATTTTCTTAAAATTGGGTTGCATGATAACGAACATTACATCCATATCTTCATCATTTAAAAAATTTGTGATATGTATAGCATTGTAGACTAGGTGTAGAATCATTATTCTTTGGATTGTATTGCAAAATTACAACATTTGAACAAAAGATAAATTTCAATTTCTCCATAAGAATTGGGGTAAGGATATGTATACTTTTAAAAAAAAGCCAAGGAAAATGATCTTTATATTCTTCCACTTGTGCCCCAAGCAGGAGACTGGAGACTTGTAAAGCAAGGTGCTCAATAGATGCACTTGATCCTGTTTTTTTGGAAACCATTGGTGCGAACATGGAAGATTGGGTGGAGGATGTTGAGGCATTGGAGGATGAGCACCAGAGGTGGGTGGATATGAAGGCCACTAGTCAGTAGACCTTGATGGAACATAATTTGTCCAATATGGATAGTTGTATTGGAAGCACAGATGAGAGAGGCAGAGAAGCCACTAGAGGTACAGATGATAATGATTTGTAGTCTCCGTTTTGTTGTTTAAAAGCAGCTGATTACCTCATCTATAAATAATTAGTTTATGAATGCTCTATTCTGTTGTATAATCTGCTAAATGTGCGCTGTATCTAATTTTCATCAGTTATGCAAAGTTGATATGCATTTGGTATCCAATCTTTGATCAACGCTATTTCTCTGGCAAACTAAACGCTTTGATGACAATACCTGGCTATTAAAGATCAGATAGTTTACTGGCTAGTAGTGTGATAACAAAGACCCCAGATTTACTATCGCGTTATCATTTGGGCTCTTGAAGTAGGCATCTTTATAGGTCCTGTGCTAATATCCATTTAAGAACGTGCAGACAGATAACCTTGTAGGATAAGCTAAGCACGATGTCAAGGGCATTAGATTTAGCTCAGTGGTTATCGGGAAATTCCTTGGACTACTAATTAAATTACCAATATCCTATGTTCTTGACTTCCAAATATTCCAAGGGAGTGACCTAATTTCAAGCTTGGTTACTCATGATAGCCTAGAGAGGTAGAGAGCACAAAGATCCTCTGGTTTCTTTACATCCACAAAGATCCTGCTCTATGTATTTGAGAAAATGAAGCGTTGCTCAATCATTTGCTCTTTCGTTGTCTGTTCGCTTTCAAGGGCTGAAATTTCATGTGCCAACAATTCAGCTTAGTTTGGTGTCCTCCCAAGGATTTTGAAGATTAGCTTCTTAAGTTGTTATTAGGGTGATGCTTAAAGACTGAAAGGACCCTTTCTTACAACTATAGAGAAGGTCAAAATTTCTCGATTTAGATGTCTCATTTGGGGAGGTTGACTTAAAGAGTTCATGGTTTTCTACTTTGAAGTTTAAATGTCTAATGGGAGAAAATGAAGATTTGCAGCCGATCTTGGTGACCCAATGGAATAAGGTGTAAAAGTACATTGGGATGAACCTCTGAATTTTATTTTATTGCTTTTACTTTGCCTGTCTTTCTTTATTATATAACTAGTTTTCAGGGAAGAATCTATAGTGGGAAGAGTTCAAGAAGTCCAAATTAATGATATTATCCATCAATGAATAAAAGGAGCCGGTGCAGTTCAATTCAGGTGAGATATGAGGTCAACAAGTGAAAGCAAATCTAAGCAAGTTATTATTATCCTTTAGGTATGTTCTATGAAAAATTAAATGGTTGAATGTGTTTCCTGCCTTATTGGGTTATTTTGATTTTTGCTGAACTAAGTTCTTGAGTAATAATTTGAAGTATACAATCTTCTGTAGTTCTTCTCTATATCAATAGAGTCACACTTAACTGAATTTCATTAAAAAAGTTGAACATAAAATACTTCTGCTGTCCCTTGTTACTGATGATCTGTTTTTCACAACGGACACATAATTTTGAAATTATGTCTAGATCTGTTACTGAAATGTTGATGGTGTTCATGGTAAGCTAAAAATTTATTGGCGAAGAGAAGACAGGACAACATCTTGGAGGGAGCTGTCCCTCTGCATGGCCGCTTTGAACTCATCGAAGGTAACCTTTCCATCACTGTTGGCATCCATCAAATCAAATATTTCATCTAATTTTCCAGGTTCTGTGATGTCCACTGGAAGGCAATCGTCAGGTAAAGCCTGCTCAAAATTATGAAGGTCATCATGCTTAAAGAAACAACAGAAAAAGCATAATACCAAGTAACATGAATGAAATAAAAATCAAGGAAAGACAATTACTCTCAACATTGATGCAACTTCTTCCTTTGTGATGCACCCAGACCGATCTGTATCGTACATCTATCAACCATAATAATCATTAAAGCTTTGTGATTGTAGTATGTTCGCAAAGTTATGGATTCAGTAACAATGTTTTCTATGTGCAGGACATTCTCAGCAACAAGGTTCGGGCTCGTTGGCTACAAGTTGCAGTAACAATAAACAGTATTGGCTAATATGTGGATGAGCTGTTGAAATTGTGGAGGGATAGCTGTGCATTAAATGTTGGAGAGAGGCCAAAAAGTTTTGAGGTTTGATGATGATTTGAATGAGACTGGCGTCCTGTGAGTCTTATGACAAATCCTTAAATAGTCTTCAATCCTTATGACATAGTCTTCAATTCTTATGATATAGTAAGGTCTGATTTCGTGCTCTATGCTGCATGATGATGACTCTTAGTTTTGGGAGACACCCTTTCCTGATTCTTCACTCTTGTATGTTTGGTGTGAAAATTAGTTTATCCGAAGAATTCAAGAAAGAGGAGTCTTTGTGTGTGAGATCTCACATCGATTGGAGAGGGTAACGAAACATTCTTTATAAGGGTGTGCAAACCTCTCCCTAGTAAAAGCGTTTTAAAAACTTTGAGGGAAAGCCCGAAAGGAAAAGTTCAAAAAAGACAATATCTGATAATGGTGGGGTTGAGCTGATACATCGTGGGAGAGGGGGCTCAGAATAAGAAACATCAGAAAAAGGGATTTTGCAACTTTTAGCCTCGAGATGGAGTTGTAGCCCTTTCTCTAGTCACTGATGCAACTGTCTAAAATAATTCTGAAGGATCATGAATTTGCCTCTCTGGAACTTAGATTTCTTTTAAAGGTGGTTCTAAGTTCATTCGAAGGATTAAATTCTCTATGAATGTTGTGTATGTGGGTGTTGTGTATTTTAGTAATTGAATACGCACCTGAAAACATAGGCGAAGAGCATCATCGCCTTGTGAATTACGAAGGCTCGAAAATCCACAAAGTAACTCGCGCATGTCAATTGTTCCATCCCGATTATTGTCAAAGAGGTCGAAAATTCGAGGTGCAAGAGGGATAAGTGAAGACATATTCATTGCTTTCAGCACCTCTTCAAATTCAGGAAGAGTGGCATTGTCCCCTTTTGCACATCTGCTTATTGCAAGGTATGCAAATTAATCATTTCTCATTAATTTTGTCTACTAAGGTTATTAGATTAGTGTGCCATTAGATGATTAAAAGCCATTGCATTTATAGCAAACTTACATTATCTTGAAATGGAGTCTGAAACTTTCAACTTCCTCAGGTGTGAGATCATAAGACCCCAACAAAGATCTTAGCTTTTTTGTCCTCAATAAAATCGTGCTGCTCCATACGCTAGCTATCGCTGCAGCTCGAAGCTTGCGTCGGGCATTGAAACTCTTAAGTCGTGATACAATCTCAGCATCCATTTGATCTTGCTTGGCTGAATTACCCATGACCCATGGATGCTCTAGAAGCTGTGTCATGAAATTTGTTAGGCTCACAAGCAATCCAGCAAATTACACTAAGGCCAAGCTCCCTCGTACCTCTTGGGCACTCGGTCTCCTCTGAGGATCAACTGTCAACAGACTCGAAATCAGTTGCCTAGCCGAAGAAGAAATCGACTTCCAAGTTTTCTCATGGAAACTGAACTCTCCCTGCATTCAACCAAAGATTCACAAAAGGAGCACATTTTCAAAATACAAGTTTATAGATTTGATAACATAATTGAAGATCACTTACAGCCATGATCATTTCATGTTTTTCTCGATTGGACCGAGCGATAAAAGGCGGGTACCTATGTAAAGAAACTTATTTGAGTTCACTTCATTTTGCATAGGAGCTACAGAATAATGAAACTTTGACCTTTTTTTCTTGCAGAAAGGAGATTCCATTACATACCCTGAGAGAAGGATGTACAAAATCACTCCCAGAGACCACATATCACTTTTGGAGGTAATTGTTCCTTGGGAAAGCGCTTCTGGTGAGACATAATCTATGGAACCAAACAATCCAACAACTGGGTCAGTGAACTCCTCCACAGAACTCAATCCAAAGTCCATGATTTTCAAGGAAGAGTCCTGGCTTTCATCAAGGAAGAGACAGTTTTCGGGTTTCAAGTCACGGTGAATGATATTGACTTCATGAAGAGCCTTCAAACCACTAGCAATCTGTCTCACAACTGCAGCAGCTTTAGCTTCAGTGTGTCTCGTCTGAGCCACGATCCTATCGAAAAGCTCGCCTCCAGAACAAAGCTCCAACACGAGATGAACCCCGTTCGAATCTTCATACACGTCGTAAAGATCAATCACATTTTCATGAGGTGAGACATTCTCAACTATCTTCCTCATTACTAAAATCTCATTTGTCAATAGAGCATCAGAAATCATAGACTTTCTTGCAGGAACCATGGAAGTCACACTCTTGAGAGCATTTCGATTTGGTGGACATCCCATGAAAGCTGATGGCCCAATTCTTCTTAGTGTTTTAATAGCTACTTCGTTTTTCTCTCTTCTGGACTTACTGATACCTTTCCTGACTACTGAGAATCCTCCTCTCCCTATAACGTCGGATATCTCGTACTCGTCGGAGAGTTTTCGAGCTTGCTGTATCATTTTCGCTCGAAAATTTGATGAAGAAACAACCCAGGAGGGTGAAGAGAAGGAATCTGGGAATATTTGGTGGAAGAAAATTGATAAGGAAGAGGACAAGAGGTGGTTGAATGAGAAGAGAAAAGGAAGAGGATTGGAATGAGGAACTTACATCATGAGAGTTGTGGATTAGTTATTAAAATTTGGATTGAAAAATGAGGCATTTTAGGGAATAAAGAAAGGAGAATAGGAGTTGGGGAGGAAAGACAAAACAAAGTCAATGTTTAACATTGTACACAAAACTCTCTCTCTCTCTCTCATATGAACCGTCCCTCTGTTCGTACTTTATTCATTATTAGATGTGAAGATTTGAAGATCGAGGTTGAGATTGTTTCATATGAACTTATTCGAAGGAAATGAGAATTGGAGAATTACATATAAAGCCTTTTGATATACTTAAAATTACTTTCAAACATGTTTTTAATCATTTAAATTGACTTAATGTTCGATTTTACCGTTTTAAACGGAATTTTCATCCTATAAAAATTACTTCACTACTTTCAAACTTTGACACATTTATTTCTTTTAAAAAAAATTATACCACTTAAGAAATTTACTATTTATTTTTGGTTGGCAACTTAGCCAACCCATTACTAGATCGCCAAGTTTCAGCAAAATTTCATTATATACATATATTGAAAAGGGTAAAAGTTTATGAATCAAGTGTTTTCATTTTTTTTTTTATTTTAAGTTTTCCACAATTTAATATTATATATCTTCATAATAACAGCACTATGATTGAATAGATTCAAAGAATATTCATTAAATTGAAATCGAACCCACCTTATTAGAAACATTAATTTTCTTTATTCGAATAATTTTTTAACATAAGTTTTGTGATTTTTTATACTTTTTTTTTTATATTATTTAAATTTGTAGTAAAGTGTGGGTGCCCGAATTGTATAATTTTCTATCGAACCCACCTTATTAGAAACATTAATTTTCTTTATTCGAATAATTTTTTAACATAAGTTTTGTGGTTTTTTGTTCTTGGGCTCATAAAAAAAGGTAGGAATGTTACTGAAAGATCAAAGGAGTGGAGTAGAAATTTTCTAACATCTAAGTGTGATCTATATATATATATAATTCTTTTATGCATTTTTGGATATCAAAGATCCATCAGAGTTAGATTCATTCATGTATCACCATAATAATAATATATGTATTATGATATAAAAACCATCTAAACTCATATAGCCGTGTATATATTAATGGATAAAATAACCCAAATCCGAAAATAAAAAAATATACCAACTGAAAAAAGGTCATTGAAAATAAATAAAAATAAATAAAAAGATGAAAAAGGTCAAAAGTAAAAAGATGAATAAATAAAATAAAAGTAACCAACCATTTACAATTATAATCTTATAGAATAGAGGCTGACATATCTCAATCTCCCTTCCATTAAATAACTGAAAAAGGAATTTGATCGATATAATGACATATTGCAGCTCAGCCAAAAACAAAATAATAATCCATCAATTAGTTTAAGAAATTATCCAAAATTATAAACATTATAAAAGCAACAGCTACTTTCATTCACGACTAAAAGTTCCCAGAATTACAGTATTAATTGAGAGCTTAAGATTCCTGAATTAGTGACCTTTTTTTACTTTACTACTACACTCAGTAGCATTATATCCTACATTATATGTAAAAAAAAGCCTTAAAAGATTGTAGCTGTAGAACATCTAGGTACATGCTCACACAGACGCGCGTATGTGTATATATGTGTGTGTGTGTGTGTGTGTATGTAAATATATATTAAACAACTAGCATATAGATGGGAAGAAAATGCACCTTCTCAATGGCATGAAGATGGCTGGCCTTTGGGCTTCCTCCTCCCTCTGGAAATATACTTACTTCCGATCATCCGAGCTTGACGTATATTCAACTCAAAGGTACCACAATTGTGTATCTTGCTTTGGCAACGGTGGGTCTACTGGGTAATCGATTGATGCCAAGTTAAACGGAGAACCAAATCTGAAGTCGGGAATGTTATCGTTGGGATACATGCCGAAAGGAGAATCGAACGTCTTGTATTCGTCAAATGGGACTTTTGTGGAAGAGAAATCAGGGAGCTGCATTGGCATGCTACTTCCCCCCACCATTGCTCCTTGGCAATACAAGTTATCATCAACTTGGAGTTGGAATGTTGGCAGCTGTTGGTTGTGATCGGCTCTTGCTTCGACGTTCCCGGAAATCAAAATCTTGTCCTGTTGATGGTTAGAATCGTAGAAACTTAGAAGGTCAGTGATCATTTTCTGGTCGTCGTCTGGAAGTCCAAGGCCTGATACTCTGAGGGGTGGAGTTGGGTTCATAGGCCGGGTAGGAGGCTTGGAATGGTTAAAGGAGGGAAGAACTGGAGATGATTTATCATCGTTAGTTAGAAAGTTTGGGATGCCAAATATTGGGGAAGAATCACTCCTAAATGGGCAGTTCAACTGGTGGTTGTTTCTCGAAGTCCTGTCGAGAAACCCGAGGCGCGAATTGTTATATGGGCACTGAGAATTTTCACAAGTATATATCTTCTGAGGCATCATTGCATTTGACTCATCAGAAATCAGAGTCCTCTTTTGAATAAAGTTTGAATTGTTCTCCATGAGTTCTTCCTTTATCTGAGGTCCCAATGGTGGCATCATTGGCCTCTCTCTAGGACCAGGAGCCCCCATATTAAAGAAATTGAGAGCATGAGGCTTGCTTTCCTCTGTTTCGACATTTGGTTCGTCTTCCACTACTTCAACATCGTAATCGCTACTGTCACTGATTAAAATAGATCCGCTCCCACAAATCGACACAGGTGGGCATCTATCAGGATACAATTTCCTGGCCAAGGCTTCTTCCTGGTTTACAATGGCCAGCCATGTAGCACTCTCTTTTGCAGTCATCTTGTCTTGCAAACATTTAGACTGACAAACAAGCTTGCGAATCTTGGCAATGTCGGGCGACATGTGCTTAATCACAGCAGTGAGAACGCCAACTTTCCAAACCTTCTTCAGATCATGGGGCTTCTTATAAGGGGGAGGCCCCTGGTCCTTGGGTAATCCCAATTCAGGCCACCATTCCTCGTTTCCAGTAGGCCACCATGGTGGGGAAACTCCCTTCTCTAATGGAAAACGACGCTGGGGTGGATCACAGTGCTGCATCAGAGCGGACAAAAGTGATCCAAGGGTCGTATCTTGGAGCTCTTGTAAAGTGTGGGGGGTGGATGTCACTGTATTGCAGTCATCATTGATCCCAGGAATTGCATGATCAGCCTGATATTTGGTAATGGCTGCTGGGCCATTTCTATCGAATCTGACTCGTTCTTTCCACCAGGCACGAAGATTATCAGAAGCTCCACTCACTGGCTTTCCTTTCTCAGGAATGATCCCATAAACGAAACCTTGAGCTTTACAAACCTCCATCATTTTCAACATATATTTCAGGATACCGTCTTGAGCCCGAGACATCTTCTTCCTTCGGGCCTGCTCCTGGGATTGACGCTGCTTTGAATTATCATCCCCTTCCTTCTCTTTGCTTTGTTCTTTGAGTCGCCTCAAAAGCATCCGATCACGCCACATCCTTCTCTCAAGCTCATCAACATCCAGCTCTTCATCGCTATAATCTTCCTCCAAAGTAGCCTCTGCTTCATGCTCCCGACCCGTCTCTTGTTCCCCAGAAGGAGCCGAAAAATACTCAAGATTTTGGCAAAAGCCAATATCTTCAAAGATCCCGGTGTTCATCATTGGAACAACCTCACTGTCGTTGGCTTGAAACCACTTGGTGGTGGATGGATTGATCTCTTATCTAAGCACTGTTCAAACAAAACAGGGATTTTACGGTCCACAGAATTTAAAGTTCTGGCGAAACATTCCAGAAAATCGTTCATTCATGATATCCTGTCGAAAAATTAACAACCCAATACTTTGTTAGAAACTTAAATGCTACCTCAAGAAGCACGATTACTTTGAATTGGTTATGGCTACAATATAAAACTTAAAAAATAATAATAATAAAGTCAAACTCATCAGATTAAATAAATAAAAGAAACGAAACGAAGAAGAAACATATAGTTATATGCACAAGCGAATTAATCCGATTAATTAAATATTTTTCAGTGTGGAAAACAAACATTCATACTACCAGAGAAATCGTCATTTAATCACTTAAAAAAAGGATAAATAAACACATATTAAAGAAGAGAAAGAAAATCAGAAGATAATATAAAATAGATCCAAGATTTAATTATCGTGAGATGTATTTTCAACGTCAAAAAAAAGGAGAAATCAACATAGAGTATCAGATTGCAAGAAATTCAAGCGCTCATAGTTTCGCTTCCAATCCATACCCTTAACACTAAGATTTGAAACTCTGCGTGTAAGAAACGCCACGTTCGATTCATTCGAGTATAATCTTCCCCCAAGAATTTCCAGCAAATTTCTCCCTCTCTAAAGCAAAACTAAACTATCCTTTATGACCAGAAACAGAGATAGACTTGAGAGTCTACATGAATTTATATTCACGCCGACTGTAACTCTTCGCTTTAAATGAAAAAAGAAGATGACGTGCTGCTTTTAGATCGAGAAACTCGGAGTCAATCAAAATCTTATCCCATCCCCGAAAAATGAGAATGAAATGAGGACAATCAAGCTGTAACGTAAGGATCAAAGGCGTTGAAGAAGAGGACAAGTGGCAGAACTTGCAAAGAAAGTCAGCAATTTATATCATACAAAACGCCTATAGTTCGTCAAAACAACATGCCGAAAAACCGCATATCTCAGTCGATAACAAACAAATCAGAAAGTAAAAAATAACAAAAAACATCCAACCGCAAACTCCGGACTCAATAACTACAGCAACGGATCAACACAATCAAAACTAAAACTCAGCAGATGAACAAAAAATCATGAACAGATAGCGCCACAACCACTACCACGTCCATATCGGATAGAAAACAGATATCACTCCGCAATTTCAAGCTCCTTCAATCAAGTTTACATATCAAAACAGC